AGTGGACTATATGCTTATGCTACCTAGACGATATAGTTTTTTTCCGAAACATTCGAAGATCATCTGTTGTGGTTGAAAGCCGTTTTACACTACATACAGAATGCAGGTCTCCAACTGAATCCGAATAAGTGCACCTTCGGTGCTAAACAGATAGAGGAGAAGGTGATATTATGGAACCACATTTTCATTTTAGTGAATGGTAAACAAGGTATCATAACTACACCCACATTTTTTGTGCAAAAAGTACTAATAACTATTAAACTAAATGTTCCTAATTGGATTTTTCGCTAGTGTAACTATAAGTATCGTTTTTGAAGGCTTTTGTACAAAAAGTCAGAAATTAGGCTTAGAGAAAATCGGGTGGTAATATGGAACCTTACTGTATGTTTTCAAAAAATGCTTTAATGTATCCAAAAACAAATAGGAGTGCAAAGAATGTTAAATAATTACAAAATTATTTACTCCAATGTATTTTATCGCAAAAATGCTTTTATAACAGAAAAATATAATCTACATCAACAATATATATTCCAGCAGCTCTTTTTCGATATTTTCAGGAAGAATTGGCTTTCTACCTAGTGTCTTTTTTACAAATTGCTCCGGACGAATGTCTGCTTGCAAAGAGAGAGTTCGGAGGAGTTGGATTCCCAGAGGAGTTAGGTTCCATATTAAAAGCACCAATGGGGTCCATATTAAAATCACCAATAGAATCGTTATCTTGAATTAACTTATGTCTGTCAAGACCAAATTTTAAAAAAACGTGAACATCACACAGATTAATATGTACCCCTAAGTCTTGTAACGGAATACATGCACCAGTGAACCTACAACTACACGATTTATATTTTAAAAATAATTAAATTCACTTAGCATTCAAAACTTTCGAATTTTGAAAAACACAAATTTGCTGATTCACTACGGACAACCGTTTAACTGAAGTGAAACGGGTTTTTCCTTGCTATGGATGTCTGCCTAGTTCAGTTCAGCCACAATCCGCTACCGTTCGCCTTTATTATCAGTTCGAAATGGAGTGGTTCCATAATACCCGCAGTGTTCCATAATACCACCTTTTCCTCTATACTTGGACACCTGATATCAAAAGATGAAATACGACCTGACCCTGAAAAATTACGAGCAGTCACCGATTTTCTGACTCCAAAAAATGTACATAACATAAGAAGTTTCTTGGGTCTATGCTCTTATTACCTCTGCTTTTACAAATTTCTGCTCTAAAGCTCAGCCATTGCAGAAATTACTAAAAAAGATTTGACGTTCACTTGGGGCCAACTAGAAGCCGATTCCATTTCTACCTTAAAACAGGCTCTTACTTCTAATCCAGTATTAAGATTGTACAACAAGGAAGCCCCAACAGAACTCCACACAAATGCCAGTGGTTACAGGATTAGGAGTATAGCAGTCCAAATTGAAGATGGCAAAGAAAGGGTAATTGCTTATGCATCCCAAACGCTTACCAAGTCAGAAAAAAATTATTCGACCACAGAGAGGGACTGTCTTGTGTAATATGGGCAATCCACAAATTCCGGCCATATCTCTTCAATAAACCATTTGTTGTAGTAACAGATCATCATGCATTATGCTGGCTCTCTGGACTAAAGGATCCATCGGGAAGGCTCGCTAGATGGGCCTTAATTAAGATTGAAAAAGTACGATGTGTTTCATATGCTATAAAAGCAGACAAAACATAAAGACGCAGACTGCCCTTCGAGAAATCCGTAGATGTCGACACTTCTGTGGAGGCTGGTGTAGTTGCCACACTTAGGAATATCGCCGTCGATCAAAAGAAGGATCCGAAACCGGCAGAAGTGATTCGTGCTCTCGAAAGGTCCGAGTCAATCAAGGAGGAGTTTGGACTTATCAACGGCGTTCTTTGTAAGAAAAATTACGATCTAACGGAGAAAAAGTGGTTACCTGTAATCCCTAAGCACTTGCATCTAGACATATTGCAACATTTTCACGATGCCTCTACTGCTGGCCACTTAGGATTCGCTAAAACTTACGACAGAATCAGAAAGCGATTTTTTTGGCCACGGCTGTACCGCACAATAAGACACTATGTCTCCCATTCTTCCATTGTCAAGAATGTCAGCGAAGAAAACAGGTACCACAGAAGCCACCTGGTCGCCTTATTTCCATCTCACCAGCTATAGCGCCCTTTCATCGAATTGGTATAGATTTACTTGGTCCAATCCCAAAATCCCTAACGGGAAATAAATGGATTGTGGTCTGCCGATTATTTAACATGATATGCCATCACCAGGGCTTTACCGACAGCCGAGGCCCGAGAAATAGCTAGATTCCTTGTCGACGAAATCCTTTTGAAACATGGAGCCCCAAGAGTCCTAATCACCGATCGAGGAAAAATTTTCAATCAAGGCTCATGTCTGATTTTATTCGGTGCTGCCAGGTAACACACAGCATGACAACCGCATATCATCCACAAACAAAGGGATTAACTGAACGCTTTAACAAGACATTAACAAATATGATGTCTATTTATGTCGATGATGAGCAGAAAGACTGGGATTCGGTGTTACCGTTTCTAACTTTCGCGTATAATACTGTAAAGCAGGAAAGCAGGACGTTACTAGATTCACTCCATTCTTTTTACTCCACGGACCTGAAGCCAAGACAACCTTGGACACTTTATTCCCATATCAATCCGAAGATCATCCCGACGATTACCTGGGGCAATTAGTGACGACAGCCGAAGAGTCGCGACAATTAGCTCGCTCACGTACCTTAATGACCCAGAAGAAAGATCGAGGACAGTACGATGCTGCATACCGAACCTTTTCATATCAGCCTGTTGATCTTGTGTGGCTATTTATACCTCTGCGCAAGGTGGGTCTGTCTATATGGGCCAAAGTAAGGGGCTTTTCAAAGTCTTTAGACGATTATCTGATGTTACCTATGAAGTCGAACATTTCGATCCTACGTCCAAGCGGAGGAAGTCAAAGGATACAGTCCACGTCCTTCGTATGAAACCTTATTGTGATCCCAATATTCAAGACATTGACCCTACCTGTGACGTCGATAGTACCCAAATTCCTGTTAGTGACATCGACCCTGGTGAGTCACGTGTGCCCGTAACAAGACCACCAAAAACATCAAAGTCAACATTTACCAGACCTATGACTTGTTCTAGAACTAGCCAAATTAGGAAGTGCCTAAATGATAGCGAGACGCTGTCTTCTTGGGGGAGGGTATAATGCCGCAGTTCACTTTGCCATCTGTCAAGTTCCATGGCACAGTGGTTAGCATCTCCTCCTATGAATCGGAAGGTCTCTGGTTTAAGGAGAAAATTAGTTTTTTTTTTTTTTTCTTTTGCTGTGTGCGTTCTCAAAGGTTCGAGAACACATGTTAATTCGCTATCATTTAGATATTTCGACAATGCGTTCGCGTTATAAAACCGCGAGCTCTCAGGTTAAGGAGGGTTATCTTGTACTGCAGGCTGCAGTGGTTGTATGCTCTATGGGTGAATAAACATCCGTTTGTGTTCACCAAAAACTTGTCATTGCGGTTCACCGTTCATCTACACGACAATATATTAATGATAACAGTATACTGGAAATATATTTTGAATAATATCTATAGTTTTCTATTATAAATACTTTCTCAGAATATATATATTAAATTTTATTTAATAAATAATTTACTTAGTATTCATGATTAAACTATGAAGTATAGTTTCTCTGTTTATATCTCTAAAAATCAAATATTATTACATAGAAATATAGCATTCATATTTATATCCTATAAAATAATAAATATAATTATTCCATCTTACTAATATTTATTGCAAAAATAAGAAACTTTTAGGTAATAATATTTGATTTTATTGATAATACGAAAAATATTTTCATAAATAAACTAGAAAAATAGTTTCTTAGATATTAAATTATTATTTTGTTTAATATTTTAAAACAAGTCTATTGAAAAGCTATTTATAAGTTTTAATATTCTCAAAAATTGATTAAATTTATAGATATCTAATGTTCGTATCTACATGTAATATCTTAAGTGAATTATATTTGTATTATTTAATAAAAAATTAATAAATAATTTGTTTTTAAATTATTAGCTACTAAATGTTTAGGATGAGCACAAATTTACACACAAAAGAGATCACCTGAAAGGATGTATCAGTGATACGTAATGTATTTCTGTGATTGTGATAAGTATGTACAGTACATAATATCAAGCGTAATATTGGTATATGAATTTTAGTTAAATGTTATCCACGTAGGTCATATTCTGTGACTGCATAATATAAAGCGAATTCTTTGCCTATGTATGGATACTTTTTAATAATTCTAGCCATAAAATTTCTCTATCGACTTTTATTTAAGGTAATATAAAAATATATTAAATAATTTAGCAAAAAATAAAAATAAAATTTATTTTCTTTGTAATTGTATATTAAAATTATTTTAAATTATTTCCTGAATATAACCAATGGCATACTGAATATCATTGGTTACATTCAAGAACCTTTTTAAAAAATAATGTGTATATATATATAACATCAATAACTAACATAATAAGTTGTAAAAATAACAGATAAATTTTCAGGAAATAATAAATTTAGTAATAATAGACGTAGAAAGGAATATATGAAATTTTAAATAATATATATCTAAAAGCGTGCTTGTTATTTTTAAATATCTGATTTACTTAAATTTTAATAAACAGCGTAGTAAATTCAGAATAGAAATGCCGATATTCGTATAGTTTGATATTTATGTAATTATTTTTTTAAAAAAACTTTTAATGAATCTCTTTTCTCTTTTAATGCGTATTAAACGGTTGCGACCAGGTTCATTAATTTCTCAAAAGAAAGTTCTGTTATTAAAAACGAATTATTTGTTATTATTTAGTATCTAAGATAATAAAAAAAGGAACAAGAAGCAAGAAAACTTTAATAAATTGTAAAAGTTCAATACTACAAATAAATTTCATTCAAATATGTTTGACTGAAACATCATGCACAGGTGGAGAGATGGTAACTTACTACATAGCCAGAATGCCTACCATCATGGATCCGGGTTTGAATCCTAGCTACATTTCCATGATTTATCATAGATACTATAGGATGGCATATTGTTCTTCGTTTCGCAATTATTCTGGTTGATTTCATTGTAGTTCGAACGGCCATGCATTATACGTTCGAAATGCAGTAATTGGAAAGTTAGTAATTGTACAGTACGGGCTATATACCTAAAGTGTACAGGCACATCCAATCAAATAATCGATAAAATACAAATATAAATTAAATTTTAAAAATGTAATATTCACAAAACACATTTTAAATAAAACATTTAGTATTTTATATAAAAATATAGAAATTCCAAAAGAATAAATGAAATTAATTGTGTTTTGTTAATAATTATCGAAAATGAACAATTATTATACATACTATAATGAACTTTTCATATTTAGCATGATTTCAATACAAATCTATCAGCAATTTTTGGAATAGTGAAGACACTTTATTAACCATAGCATAGACGATTCTACAAAATGTTTATGATACTCTAGCATGATATATTTTTAATAATAATAAATTGCTTTAATAAGATTAAAGTTATACTCCTGATCTCATATTCATATTAGTACGATGTTTATTATAAACATACGCACATATAAATACACATATACGCACGTTGCCAAATCCAATTTTGGTATTTTAAGTTAAAAAAATCTTTTTAAAAAATTTAAAATTTTTTCTCAAAACTTTGAAATTATTCTGAGAATTAAAATAAATTTTATATTTATGATAAGTTATTTATTTACAATATTATTAATACGTCGTAATTAGCTAAGTGCGACATTTCGTTATTTGTCTAAATATTTGGTTATTCTAAATTAAGAATAAAAATGTAGTTTTATTCTTACTTTAGAATATTCATTTAAAAATATAAAATTCTGAAAATATACACATATTTCTGTAAATAAACCCTAAGCTTAATTACGGAAAATAAGTGAATTCGGTGTAAAATGCCGATGACAAAAATAAGCTCCAGCTTGCACTTTGGAGCGTATTTATTAATAAAAATTACATCATTTTTCATCAGAAGAATCGATACGCACCAGTTTCTTCATTGTCGCACTTTAATATCTCCATATTATTCTCGTTCTCTGTGTCTTCAGCTTCATTATTTTCCTATTCTCCCGATTCACTAACTGTAACCAATGTTGATCTAAGCTTACTTCTGCGGCACTTGTAATGCGTTTTCGACTATTCGTTAGGCTTCGAGATTTCTTCGAATTGATTTTCTTTTTTAACTTTTTCGGTGTTAAAACCAAGAATCCTTGCCAAACAAAAAGAAAAATAATGAGATCCTCAGAACTTCTAGCATTAGTTAAAAAATAAAAAGATAAAAGAGAATAAACAATTCAATCAAGCTTAGTCTATTTCACAAAGCAATAAAAATAGTCAAACGAATATTTAAAACATAATGATAACTATTTCATTAAGGACTACATATCTAGACTAATGCAATCCTCAAGGATAGGAATAGACTATCCGTAACAATGAGTTAATTTGGAAAGAGAATTCACATTTCCTGTAATTTAATTCGAGAAAAGTTAGAGATGGAAGAAAGTGTAATACTGAAGAGCATACCCAAAGGCCTCTCTTTTAAACGGAGTTTATGAAAATAGCCTGTACATTTACTTTATTTATATGATTTGGCAGCAAAATCAGTCAAGATGTTTTCATTTCACCAGATTATGGGTTCGAACTCCTTGCGGACGTGATCGTTCGGCAACTTACATAATAGATAGTCAACGCGGTAAGGGTAGGTATTGTTACATGTGACATTGTTAATGTAGTTCATAATATTCTCGTATTTCACGGGGAAAAAGACCTACAAAATAATTAATAGAACACAATTGGAATTTTTCCCATAGACTTACAATGGAAATCCGAAACTGAATATACTTTCGTTATTGCTTTATGAAAAAACTTTTTCAAGGTATAATACGTTAAGGTATGAATGGTTAAATTTTCGAAAAAATAGGAAAAAAATTGATATTAAAAAATTTGGGAAGAGCTTCGCCGTATTTGGATGTCGGATAGCGCGCGCTCCTTTGTTAACATTTTTAAATGCCAAATTTTTCCTTTTATCTTAATATAAGGATGACCTTTGACCCCCGATATCTCCCGTTCTATGTCAAATTTTAAAATTCGACCTACGTCATGACACACCATTTTATTAATTTTATTATTAAAATCGCTGAGCTTGAATAAAACAATTTAATTTAAATTTGGATTATTTATATCATTAAACATCCGTTTGAATTGAAAAACTAGGTAAATTCCTAATTATTATAATATTTGTGTAAAAAATTGTAAATTTAAAACTGTTTTTATGTAAAACTGTTTTAATATTGATTAAGAATGGATAAAAAATTTAGGACTATTACTGTTGTTATATATATAATAATATTAATTCAATTCCTTTCTATGAATGAATATTAAGTTTTATGAGAATTCTACTTTCACAAGAAGAATCTAGATAAATATATCATAAATTTAAATTTAAAACTTTCTGAAGGGAGAAACTGCTTAATTTTCTTCATTGTGCAAAAGAACATTAATTTCTCAATTTGAAATATTTCTTCAGACAGATATAAATCCTTAATCAAATCTCCAAGACATTTGAAGTCAATCAGATTTCTCCAAGGTTTCGAATGTTTTGACATGCGAGTTTTATTTATTATTATAGATTGTGTTGCGTGCACTTTAATGAAAGACATTTGACAGATTGAAATAAATATAAAATTGTAAAATATTGCAAAAGTCAAATTGATAATTAAAAAAGAAATAGCTATAGTTAATCATTGCAATTATTCTTAATTATAAAAGCGCTTTCTGAAATTTTCCCTGTTATTTTTATTAATTTAACACTTTATTTAGAAAATTAGGTATTATAAATTGCTTTAATAAGATTAAAGTTATACTCCTGATCTCATATTCATATTAGTACGATGTTTATTATAAACATACGCACATAGTTGTAAAAATAACAGATAAATTTTCAGGAAATAATAAATTTAGTAATAATAGACGTAGAAAGGAATATATGAAATTTTAAATAATATATATCTAAAAGCGTGCTTGTTATTTTTAAATATCTGATTTACTTAAATTTTAATAAACAGCGTAGTAAATTNTTTCTCTGTCGATAATTTAAAAATATTAATTTGTTTTCATTTTAAAATCAAATGCTTTGAGTATTAAATAAGCCTTTATTTAATGACATACATGTTTCTTCATTTCCTGTAATACACTTTATGAAGTTACGGTACACATGATCAAGTTTCATTGACGTTTCGATAAATATGATAATTCAAATTTCATGTTTAGTAAATATGATAATGAAACTCTAGATATGAAATGAAATTTAGATATTAAATGAAATTTCATATTTCACTCAAAGCACTTTAATGACATGATATTTGATACATGAAATAATCATATTCGTGGAAACCTCAATGAAACTTCGTGAAATGTATTACATAAAGTGACGTTTAATATATGAAATTAAGCTGACATCAAACTTTATTTACTGACATATGAAATAAACTTTTATGCTTAACTCATACACAATTTTAAAATAAAATTAAATTCAGTATTTATTTACAAATTTTAATGCCAATTTTATTTTATTTCTTTTGCAAATTTTATTTTAATTTCAAAATTCACTAATATTGCATTTCTGACGTGATAAATATTATAACTTCATATCTAAATTGGTAAGTATTATTAAATGAAGTTTCATACGTCACTCGAATAATTTTATTTTTTAAGTTTAATTATAATTTATATTGAAGTTAATTTAAATCTTTTGTAATTTAATTACTAAATATTAAAAATATCAACGAACATATAATTTAGGATTAAATCATTCCCCATTCTTCCCTGTCATTCTTCTCTTCTATATATTTCTCAAGTTGAAAAAAATATCAGAAGGAATTTATTATAGTTAAAATATTTAAGACAAACATTAATTTCTACAACGAATAAGTCTAGAATAGAAATTAAATTAAAAATGAAACTCAATAAAGTAGAAAGAATTTAAATATTTTTAACGATAAAAAAAATGTACTTTGAAAATCTGAAAATAAATATTTAATCATAATGATTATATGAATAAGGTGTTACTTGTGTGCAATTATCTAATTTTTTCACTAATAATTAATGATAATTTAAGAATAATAACTTTATCTATTCCACGGTTATTTTACTAATTATCAGATTATAAATATTACACTACAGACTCAAGGTTTTATTCAGAATGTCTAACTTGAAACTAAAACCATTCAATAAGAAATAAAGAAAATTAAGAACATTTCAATATAAGAAAATTTGATAATTAGAAAAATGGATTATACGATACTTGCATATTGTTTTTATTGGAGTTCTTTTCAAAAATTTCAATAAGAACAAAATATAATCTTTATTCTAATAAAGTATATTATTAATTTTTCAGATTCTTAATAATTATTTTCGTTCTTTTAAATCAATGGAAGAGATATGGATAAACTTTAAAAATGAAAAATTAATTATATTAATCACTTAAATAAAGAATCGAAATTTAGAAATTACATACTTCTTTAATGGAAAGAAAATTCCATTTTCGTTATATTAGTCGACTTCATTTAATGGACATCATATATATTATTCACTTTTTGAACACACTAAGTAAAGTAATAGTTCTTTATACGCAAGGCAAAGTTTAATCTATCATGCTTGATCATCACCACCAGCTTCTGTTTAGGATTTATAATTAATGATTATATAAAGCCGTTCAGTATTAAATTTAAAGAGAATTTTAATTAAAAAATTAAGAAATAGAAGTGTTTTAATTAACAATTCATTATATAACTATAACATTATTTCAAAACTATACAAGAAATAAAGTATATTATGATCATTTTCGACTTTGATGGATAATTTATCCATCATAATTTATATATTGATCGTTTAAAATGTTGTATGTTTAAAGAAAATATTCTTTCTGAAAATAGGACATTTTCTTTATTTCAAGACTAATTTCGTGCAAATTTTATACGATTACTATAAAGAAAATCCAATACTAGAAGAATGAAATGAGAACTGAAAAAGCAAAATAATATCGAGACTTTAATAAAATAATAACTAATTCATTAATTCAGAAAACACAAGAGAATTTTTATCATGTTATTAACGAAGCAAACAATTTGCCGTCTTATTTTCCCTTTTTTAAAGAAAAATTCATTACTTATCTATCTCCTGAGATGTTTCTATTTATTTTGAATACTTTAAATTATTCTTCTTGAAATGAATAGATAATAGGGAATGTTTTTCATAGTAGAAACATTTATAGTTAAAAATAAAGTAAAATTAAAGACTTATCCTCACTTTTAACTTGAAATTCTGAAATAAAATTATTTGGATAGAAACTCTTAAAAACAAATACTAAATTTTTAATATTTCTATTTACGTGGACCTGGGATTTACTTTTGGAATTTTCATTATGTTCAAAAATTTAATAATGGATAATATANATATGGATAAACTTTAAAAATGAAAAATTAATTATATTAATCACTTAAATAAAGAATCGAAATTTAGAAATTACATACTTCTTTAATGGAAAGAAAATTCCATTTTCGTTATATTAGTCGACTTCATTTAATGGACATCATATATATTATTCACTTTTTGAACACACTAAGTAAAGTAATAGTTCTTTATACGCAAGGCAAAGTTTAATCTATCATGCTTGATCATCACCACCAGCTTCTGTTTAGGATTTATAATTAATGATTATATAAAGCCGTTCAGTATTAAATTTAAAGAGAATTTTAATTAAAAAATTAAGAAATAGAAGTGTTTTAATTAACAATTCATTATATAACTATAACATTATTTCAAAACTATACAAGAAATAAAGTATATTATGATCATTTTCGACTTTGATGGATAATTTATCCATCATAATTTATATATTGATCGTTTAAAATGTTGTATGTTTAAAGAAAATATTCTTTCTGAAAATAGGACATTTTCTTTATTTCAAGACTAATTTCGTGCAAATTTTATACGATTACTATAAAGAAAATCCAATACTAGAAGAATGAAATGAGAACTGAAAAAGCAAAATAATATCGAGACTTTAATAAAATAATAACTAATTCATTAATTCAGAAAACACAAGAGAATTTTTATCATGTTATTAACGAAGCAAACAATTTGCCGTCTTATTTTCCCTTTTTTAAAGAAAAATTCATTACTTATCTATCTCCTGAGATGTTTCTATTT